GGGGTCTTTACATAAATAGTAACTTTTATTCTCAGCTCTGTGCATGGCCTGGGTTTGTGGATGTTGCTGTCTCTGTTTTCATGAATGCTTCGGTACCCTTTGTGGCCTTTGACTATAAGGTGGGCTAAATGCAGACATACTCGGGTCTCTTGAGGCTTCTGGAAGGTAGTACCCATTCTGAATGCCCTGCCATGTTGGTCTGCCCCTTCCTTGCTTTGACCGACTGGGAAATAAAGATAAAGAGAGACCAAGGCAGAGAAAGAACACATCTATCTCCTCTTCCTCTCTCCCTATTCTTTTCCCTCTCTTCAGGTCATTTTTCTTCTTTTTTAAAAATGTTGCTAACTGGGCCAGGTACGGGGGGTGTATGCCTTAAATCCCAGCACTTGTGAGGCAGAGGTAGGTGGGTCTCTGTGAGTTTAAGGCCTGCCATGAGTTCCAGGACAGCCAGGACTAAGTAGAGAGACTCTGTCTCAAAAACAAACAAAAATGTTGCTAGTTATGGTGGCATTGGAACTCACTATGTATCTCAGGCTGGTTTCTGTTTTCTGAGTTTCAGGGTTTTACCTGTAGAAATTACACCCAGCTTTGTATGCTTCCCCCACCCCTTTCCTGGCTGGTGACAAATGGCTTTGGTGGGAACCCGCTGACTGTTTAGGGACAGAATTCATTGGGGTCGGGGTTATTGAGCCCCCTTCTGACTACAGTCTGCCTTCCGAGGTAGGAAAATTGGTAGCTCCAATTCTTACTGTGACATGTTTCCATTCTGGTGTGGAAAGGTTAAAAATCAATAAATCACAAATAAGTCCTGTTGTTCCTTTTGGAGACTACAGCACCCGGTATTCCCAGGCGGTCTCCCATCTAAGTACTAACCAGGCCCGACCCTCCTTAGCTTCCGAGATCGGGCGCATTCAGGGTGGTATGGCCGTAGACGGAGGCGTAATGGGAGTGCTAGGTATGAGAAGGGGCTATGCCAGTATCTACACCCTGTTTTTTCATGAGTGGTTTTTGAGCCCACACCTGAAAGAAACGTGAAGAAACCATACAAGAAGCATGCTACCCAGATGGGGAGCTGTTTAAAGTCACTGCGGGGGGTGGGGGGAAGGGATGAAGCATGAGAGTTGAGGATCAAGAGGCCCAGTGCAGCCTGGAAGGATCTTGTTTTTTCCTTTGAATGTGACTTTGGAAGAGCTTTCAGTGACTTGGCATCCCACAAAGCTCAGCTCGGCTTTGCTCCTGCAGGGGCTTGGCTGTGGCTGACTTTGTCCAGGCTGGTCTCTGCAGGATGGCAGGCAGGCCAGGCAGGCAGGCAGGCTGCCTTACAGTTCCACAGGTTTGCTGCCTCTGAGTCAGACCTCCATGCTTCATCCACTGTCTCTGACCTTGTGGCTGCCTGGGGCTCCTTAGGGTAGAAGGGTGGAGTGGCCGCCAGGCTGGCGGGCTGGCAGGGCAGGGGGGCGGCATTTCTGGGAATTGTGTGGGGGGAAGCACATTCACATTGTTAGAGCAAGCCTGCAGCTAGGGCCTCAATGGCCTCTAGGGGATGCCTCCTGCCTCCCTAGCCCTGCCTCTGGTGGGGGAGGAGGGGGACAAAGCTGGACCCTGGCCAGGCTGTGGGCTGGCGGGGGACTTTCCAAACAGACATTTCCATGAGCCCATGGCTCTTCCCATTCTGTAGACTAGGAGACTGAGGCTCGGAGAGCTGGCATCTACGCAGACAAAGGCAACACTCATGTGCCCAGCCTCCACCTCCTATCCCCAAATGACCAGAGACTCGGATCTGTTTCTAGTCACTGCCCTGTCTGATCACAGAAGCCAGTGTCCAAGGAGAGCCTAAGGTGGGACTGGCAATGGTTATAGCCCTGTGGTGGAGACCTGTGACCCCCCAAATGGGCCGGAGGGCCCGAGACCTTCATGCAGGGGAGCGATTACTTTATGGTGGCAGGATTAGGACCTCCTGGGGCTTAGGATGCCTCCCAGTCTGTGATGATGGGGAAACAAGGGGCTCCGTGTGAGCTTGGCAGTGTGAGTCTTCCCACCCACCACCGCCCTACCTTGGCCAGAGGGGAAGCATTCAGGCCACCACTGGGGTCAGGGCCAGCTCTGGGCAGACTGGGATTGGGGGTAGGGATCACAAATAGAAAAATAAATGGCTTGAGCTTCCGCTGTTTCCTGAACTGAGGAAGGGGGATGGGCAGGCTTTGGGCCAAAGGTGCAGTTGGCTTGGTGGGGCAGAGCCTGGGGATGTCCCATGATCCCACCCCATTAGGGCATTATCTGCCCTTTTCAGACCTTCGAGCTGGAATATCTCCTCCCCAGGAACCCTAGAGTAGGGCAATGTTGCACACTGAGGGCTCCTGAGGTTGGAGAGCCACTGCAGGAAGGAACAGGTTTTTAAGGAAAATTGGGTGTATCCCAGGGAGGTTGGGTGCAAAAGCCAAATGATGAACCGCGAAGAAGTCTCATCTAGGTGTTCTGGGAACTTGGAAAAGCCCTCTGTGGTAGATAGGATGGGAGGGTAAGCAAGGCTATCTCCCAGAAGCAGGCAGGTGTGTCCCTCTCCATCACTCTCAGAGGGTTAGGGTAGAGGACAACACCATGTTGGAATGAACACCTGTTGGTCTTTGGTGGGGAGGTTTCACTGAAGATTAAAACTCCCAAAGTCAGCAAGGGGTGTGTGTGTGTGTGTGTGTGTGTGTGTGTATGTATACTGATGTTGTGGGAGGTTCTCTGAGCAAGGGCCAGAAGGTTGGATTTGAAGCTCCTGTAGGGTCTGGTGTTAGCGTTTTTTTTGTTTGTTTGTTTTTGTTTTTGAGACAAGGTCTCTCATGTAGCCCTGGCTGCCCTCAAACTGGATATGTATCTGAGGATGACTTTTTTTTTAATTTATTTATTAAGCATACAATGTACTGCTGGCAAGGAAGGCACCAGGTGAGCCACCATGTGGTTGCTGGGAATTGAACTGGGGACCTCTGGAAGAGCAGCCAGTGCTCTTAACCTCTGAGCCATCTCACCAGCTCCCTGAGGATGACTTTGAACTTCTGATCTTCCTGCCTCTGCCTGTCAAGTTCTGGGAGTACAGGCTGGGTTACAGTACAGTACCTGTGATGCCTGGTTTGATGCAGTACTGCAGATTGAACCCAGGGTTTCCTCTGTGCTAAGCAAACACTACCAAACTGAGCTAATCCCCAGATCAGGGAATGAAGTTTTCTAAGGCCGAGATGTGGAAATATCTAGCTGGTCAGTGCCAGCCCCACAAGTGAGGACCCCTAAGGAATGAATACATCTTTGATCTGGTTTTTATTTTATTTTGTTATCATAGCTCCCCTGCTGGTGATCCTCTGGACTTTCCTCTAAAAGAAGCCACTGTCTGAGCAGGTTTGTGGGTTGCTTCTGCCACCTACAGGCTGCTGTTTTTCACACTGGGATGACTACTAGGAGGTGGACAATCCCTTCAGCCAAACAGCATGGTTGAAGGCCATGTGACTCCTTTATTCCCTGTGCTATGGTGGGGTCCTGCAAGCATCAACTCGATGATCAAACACAGAGTTCCCTTTCTCAGAACTTATTTGGTTGGGTTTGGCTTAGAGCAAGGGCCCAGTGCCAGTAAAGGGTAGAATCAGAGTTGGAATGGAAGCTGCAGAGCTGTATTTATCCTTCACTGCACCCTGGAAAAGCTTTGTTTGTTTGTTTCAAGACAGGGTCTCGCCGGGCGGTGGTGGCGCACGCCTTTAATCCCAGCACTCGGGAGGCAGAGGCAGGCGGATCTCTGTGAGTTCGAGACCAGCCTGGTTTACAGAGCTAGTTCCAGGACAGGCTCTAAAAACCACAGAGAAACCCTGTCTCGAAAAACCAAAAAAAAAAAAAAAAAAAAAAAAAAAAAAAAAAAGACAGGGTCTCATTACGTAGCCCTGGCTGTCCTGGAACTCACTATTTAGACCAGGTTGGCCTCGAACTCACAGAGATCTGCCTGCCTCTGCCTCCCAGGTGCTGGGATTAAAAGTGAGCACTGCCATGCCCAGATTTCTTTATTTATTTATTGTCATAGTGCCAGGGCCTTGTGTGCGTAGCCAGGGTTCTTCTACCTCTGAGCTACTTCCCCAGCCCTTGCCTGTTGTTTTGATCTGCATCTCCCTAATGGCTAACGAGGTTGAGTGCCTTTCACATGCTTGCTGGTGTGTACGCTTTCTTTGGGAACATGTCTGTTCAAATCCTAGTGCTGTGGGACAGGGTGCTGAAGATGTCATAACTGATTAAATGGTCAGCCCAGGCCATCTGTCAATTCCGTTTGCACCCTGGCCTCGTGGTCACTACGGGTACAATTCAGACACCTGTCTTTTGGCACCACAGAAGAGGAACAGGATACCTCTTTTCCTTGCCTGGGCATGGCTGTGATGTTCCTGCGACACTGACTCACTGTCTGATTGCCCTGCTCTGTTCTCAGTGTATAATGTGAATGGGATGATCCTGATCACAGCCTCTGTCATTCTCACTTCACAGGTTGGGAGACTAGCAGAACCTGGGATATACATCCTGTGAGGTTGACTTCAGAGGCTGGATTCTTGCCCAAGAAGTCTTTTCAGAGAGTTGGGGGTCCACACAGCCCAGTGTGAGCCGCATCTGCGCAGAAGCAAGAACGACCTAAACTTGGCTTGGCAACGATTGGAGTGTGTCAAGTTCAACCGGGCGTAGGTTGAGCTGAGAGGTCCCAACGCCACGGAGGCGGAGGCGACCGGACTCGACCAGCGGAGGAGCACAGCTTCGCTAGCAAGCGGCTCAGAAAGGGTTTTGTTCAACACCGCAGCGCAGTGGGTTATCTTTACTCCTCCCCTCAAGCTCCACCCTCTCCCCAGCTTTCAGAGGGTGTGTGTGTGTGGGGGGGGGGGGGACGTAAGGAGGAACTATCTTTAACAGTGGGTCGCGCGCCACGCGCCACGCAGTCGTCTGGGAGTTGTAGTCCCGGGGGCGGAGACTTTTTTTTTTTTATTGTGTTGCACGCGGCCGCCAGGGGAGGTTTGGACCGCGCATCTAGGCGGCGGCGGCGGCGGCGGCCGAGGTCGGGCCGGGCGGCTCAACTGGCGCAACCCGCCGCCACCGAGGTGGTGATGGGCAAGGAGGAGGAGATTGCGCGGATCGCCCGGAGGTTGGACAAGATGGTGACCAGGAAGAGCGCGGTGAGGGGCGCGGGCCGCCAGGACCCTGGGGCCCCCGCTCCGCGGAGACCCACCGAACCCACCCACGGGGAGAATGATACTCAGACCAGTCGAGACCCCTGCCCCGGGCCCGCCCTCTACCTTGTCCTGGGACTGCTGCTTCGCACTGGACTTCAAGTTGACTTGAGAGCCGCCCACTGGCCCCATCGCCCAGCGGTGGTCGCGTGCGTTCTTAGTCCAGCCGTTGTCTCCCATGTCTGCCCCCACCCTCCAGAACCAGGTTTCTCTAATACTCCCCACCCCCAACCCCGTTTAGGCCTCAGGCAGGTGTGGGAGACAGTAGATTCCAAAATGAACCTGTATCCTTGAGACCCTTGTAGACCAACTCTGCCCCTTGTCTTGCCCCGAGGCACTGTGGGCTTGGCAGTCTAGCCCGCCTTTCGGTCGACCCTGGCCACTCTTGTAACCTTTCAGGAGCATCCTTAGAGGATGATGGCACTTGCATCTTTTCTTCCGTGGGTGGGAAGGGACCAGGAGGTAGCCTTAAGGCTAAGTATGACCCGCCCATCCGCGGCACCAATCCCCAGGGCAGCCCAGATGGTGGCTGAGTCATGTCTGTAGAGCCTCCCCAGGTCTGTACTTGGAGTGGAGGGCTGCAGGACAGATTTTGGGGATGCCCCCAAAAGGATTGCCTTGGGTTCCTGTTGTTCAGGTTTGGAGAGCTGGGGTCCACTCTGCAATCACCTGCACTGCAGAGGCTTGGTGGTGCTTCTTTCCTCTAAGGGTGTTAAACCCAAACGACAGCAAGAGTGGAAAGTCACAGACAGGACTGTACAGTGGAGAAGGGAAATGACAGAGGTTCCAGGAGGTTGCAGCAACCTGAGAGGCTGATTGGTGTACAGTCTCGGAAGCAGGATCATCCGCTTTAGGGCCATGAAACAAGGCTGCATTTTGAGCAGATAATTAACACAGATTGGAGGTTAGCTCCAGACCCTCCCATTGCCTCTAGTATGGAAGGTTTGAATGAGCTCATAGTGGCAACCTGGAGGATAGCAAGCACAACAGTGTTGGGTGTTGGAAGAGTCTGTCTCGGTTGTAGGAAGGAGGAATAAAGCTTTGAAGTGCCAGGGAGAAGAGCAGTCTTAGGCAGAATGAGGGTTTTAAGGTAGGAAGAGGAGGAGCCTTCAAGGTGCAGCCTGTCTGTAGATACTGAAGAATAGAGCTTGGTAGGGGAAGAAAACCAGGCTTGTCTGTTGAAATATTTGGAAGTGCTGCACTGACGGATGGGCACTTTGACGAGGCTGCTCTATCACTATGGCACAGATGGACTATGGCTGAGGAACCTGAGTTATATCTCTGAGTGTCCTTCCAGGAACTGGGGCATATTTTTTTTTTTCTATAGTAGTTTGCTCTGTGACCTGATGTGGTTACCATGAGGTCTGGAGGTCACCACAGATGCAGAGTGAGAAACCACCCGATCTTTGAGGAGAGCACTGTTAAGCTGTTTGCCTCAATTTCTTTCCTAGTGATGTACGGCCATGTGCGCAGTGCTCTGGTCTTCTCAAGGTAGAGGAGTGGCTTCCTTCTGACATATAAATTTTCTCTCATGATCAGGAAGAGGTGGGATTGTTTAATGCCCTTTATGAAGGCCGTTTTCCCTTCCAGGAGGGAGCCATGGATTTGCTGCGGGAGCTGAAGGGCATGCCTGTTACATTACACCTGCTCCAGGTAAGCTCTTCCAGTCCTGGACTAGGATGGTTCCAGAGACAGCAATTCCAAGAACAGGGCTCCTTATATGACTCCCACAAGGCTTAGCTGGCACAAACAACTGTTCTAAGGAGAGGGTTTCTGATTCTCTCTGGTGATCAGTGAGGTGGGAGGGGGTGCTCGGGAGAGGTGTCCTTCTGCCCCTGCCCATTCCCTAGCCCTTCCCTGTGGGAGCCAAGAGCCCCTACCACCTCTGACCCTGGACACTTGTCTTGCAGTCCACCCGTGTTGGGATGTCTGTCAATGCCCTGCGGAAGCAGAGCTCGGATGAGGAGCTCATTGCGCTGGCCAAGTCCCTCATCAAGTCCTGGAAGAAGCTCTTGGGTGCGGGTCAGAATGTAAAAGGTGGCTCATGTTGCTCAGTACAGTATAGAGTGCCAGCCCTGCTGCACTTACTCAGGCTGTCTGGTTGTGGGATACAAAACAGGCCAGAAAGTGCCCATCCCTGGGCTGGAAGTGAATGAGCATGATGGCTGTTATCTGTTGTGGTGGGGAGGGGATGGCCTGGGAGGGTGTATGCCGAGGAGGAGGTTTTCAAACTGCAGGAGGTCAACAGAAAAGGAGGCCCAGATTAGGATATTCCAGATGAAGGAGGAGGAGGTGGGGCCGCTACCTATCTATGCAAGAGGTGAGCTAGGCAGACAGCAGCTATTTGTGGTTACAGTGGATAACTGGGCTGCAGAGATGGCAGCCATTCTTGGGCTTTGTCTACAAAACTCTCTGAGACAACTCAGGATCTGCCCCTCCTTACAGTCGTCACATGGCCATTGAGAGGCTAGCAGTGTAAGTTTATCCTGGTCCATAGTTCAGGCTTTGGACAAGGCCCTGCCCATGTTGTCAGAAGAAGCCTTTTATGAGGCATATGCAGGTTCAACCTGAAGAATCACACAGCAGCTTGCTTGAGTGAGGCTTAAGGAAGGTGGGTCCTGAAGAGGCTGGTGGGCTTGCTGGGGACTGGGAGGAAGGTCAGGTGGCCTCCTGGTACTTTGCTTGTCTAATGGCTTTAAGCAGTGGGGATAATGGCCAGGTTGAGGCTGGGCTAGCACCTGGCTGCCTGATCCTGACCAGACTATACCATTTGTTTTCTGATAATGGCAGATGTTTCTGATGGCAAGACCAGGGATCAAGGGAAGAGCACGCCTCTGCCCACATCGTCCTCAAAGGATGCCTCAGGGTCTGCGGATCTCAGGTAGCATATCTGAAGGCAGGTATATACATTTATGCCTCTTGCCTCAGTTTCCTCAGTGGGAAAGGAAGGCTGATGTCCATTTGCCTGGACATTCCCCTGAGGGAGAGGCCCTCTCCAGGACACCATTTATAAGGTTAGCCAGCCTCATGCTGGATACTGTCCCACCCACCGAAGATGTCTGGCTGTGTCTGCCTGGCTGTCAGTGTCATTGAGACCTTCAGTAAGGAGGGGCTACCCAATAGGAGCTGGCCTGGCCCCAGGCTCCCTTTCCTGCTTCTATCTTTTTGCTGCTCAGCAGGATTGGTGAATGGGTCCCTCATGCAAATGCTACTGGAGCTACAGGTGGGCACAGCCCCTATCTCCACATTCAAGCGTTGCCACACCACTGCCTTAAAGGTGGTCAGGGCAGACCTGTTACCATGGAGACGAGGGGCACTGCTAGTCACAGGCCATGGATGACAGGCTGCTTTGATCAGATGGTAGCAGTGGCCAGGCCACAACAGCCTATGCTCTGAACTCTAGCCTAGCAGTCCAGATATAATGTTATTATGTCCTGAGCTCATTAGCACACCTGTACAGATGATTTTGCTCCAGAAAGCCCCCTGATGCTGCTGGTTTCCAGAGGAGAGGGCCTGGTGGGTATAGTATGACTGTTGGACAAGCCTTTCACTGAGCCCAGACCTGAGATCCTTGCCCAGTTTCATTTGTGTTGTGGGGTCACCTGTGACATTATGACTTGACTTTGGGTGACTCTCCACCTCATCTTTACTCCAGGCAACCAGAAGTATCTGCCTTATTCTGCCATTAGCAGACAGGTGTTCACAGCATGGCCCATGTCCTGGGTTTCTTGGGAAGCAGACACTCTGGAGCTAGCAAGAATATCTCAGCCCAGTTTGACCAGAGAGCACTGCTCAGACACGGATTGTTGAAGGCTCTGGCATCCATTTGGGGAGTGATCTGTGATCCACTGTGGACCTTCTAGCCAATGCTCTTCTCTGACGAGGGCAGAGCACACAAGCATTCTATGCTGAACTAAGGATGGACCTAGCTGGGGGTCTGTCAGGATAGAGCAAATGGGCTTTGGGGGTCAGCATGGCATCCGCATTTGCTTTTCTGGGGATTATCACACAGAGAGGGCACTAGGTAGCCAACAGTGGTGTCCAACAGCTGCTGGATGCACAACTTGGCTTAACAAGCTTAGTCTGAGCCCAGCTTGCTTTGTCTCTCTAGCTGCAAGAAGCCAGACCCACCTAGGACCTCATCCACTCCGAGGATCACCACATTTCCCCCAGTACCCATTACCTGCGATGCTGTACGAAACAAATGCCGTGAAATGCTGACTTTGGCCCTGCAAACGGACCGTGAGTATTGCAAGCTCTGGATTTTGACACTTCTCCGGATTCACATGGTGGCCTGGACCTCTGCCTGCTTTAGAGGTTGCTGCCTGAGAGCTAACACTTTCTCTCTTGTTTGAGACAAGGTTTCTCTGTGTAACAGCTCTGGCTATCCTGGAAATTGTTTTGTAGACCAGGCTGGCCTTGAATTCACAGAGATCCACCTGCCTCTGCTTTCTGAGTGCTGGGATAAAAGGTATGCACCACCACTGCCTGGCAACAGCCCTTCTCTTTAGCCCACTGTGACTTAGGGAGGAGGTGGGGTTTTGGAGTCATCAGAACACCTGTATCTTGGGGGTCTCCCAGGAATGCAAGTGCCTTCTAGAGCTCTGTGCAAGCAGAGGGGTGGCAGGTGGAAAAAGCCAGTGTGTGGGGGGGACTAATGAGGATTCCCTTTTGCAGATGACCATGAGGCCGTCGGTGTAGACTGTGAACATCTGTCAGCTCAGATCGAGGAGTATATCCTTTGTACAGTGTATACAAGGTCCAAGACTTCTGGTAGAATCTGTAGGCCAGTGAGTTGTGCATCTCCAGTAGTTGTTAGACACCATTGGCAGATTATCCAGCGCTCTCTTGGGGTGGTCCCCTAACTTTACCTGGGCCATAGATGAGTAAGGGGCTATGACTACTTAATATATAGATCTGGGCCTCAAACAGGAACAACACTATAGCCCCTCAGTTCCCCACAGGGCTTGAGTGGGCAGACTCATGACTCCAAGGAGGGGATGGAGCTCAGAAACCTCAGATGCATCCTTAAATACCCTTACGCATCTTCCTGGACGTGGGAAACACAGACATGAAGTACAAGAACCGTGTGCGGAGCCGAATCTCCAACCTGAAAGATGCCAAGAACCCTGGCCTGCGGCGGAATGTGCTGTGTGGTGCCATTACACCCCAGCAGATAGCCGTGATGACATCAGAGGTGAGCCCCAGTGGAAGGGCTGGGGCAGGCTGTTTGTATAGAGCTGCAGGCTGAGCACTTGGCCCCTTTATCAGGAGATGGCCAGTGATGAGCTGAAGGAGATCCGTAAGGCCATGACCAAGGAGGCCATCCGTGAGCATCAGATGGCCCGTACAGGTGGCACACAGACCGACCTGTTCACCTGCAGCAAGTGCAGGAAGAAGAACTGCACCTACACGCAGGTTGGGGTCCACTCTATCTCCCTTGGCTGGGACCTCAGGGCACACCAATCCTCTCCATGGATACCACCTTTGTCCCTACTTCTCCTGGTCTGGGGCTCTGTGCTAGGGCTAAGTGGCTTGGCCCTGCCCAGCTTGGAGAGACAGGAGTGTAGTCTTCTGTTTGGCAGTGGCTGTGGGACCTTCAGACCCTGCTATGGAGGTGGAGGCTTAAATATTTTGGGGAGACCATGTGGATTCCAGGACATACTGGGGACTTGGGAAGAGGGAAGTGTTATTAAGATGCCTTATGGAAGCTGCCATCATCTGTAACAGGGCATGAGGGGCAGAGCAGCTCAGTCTCCACTACCTGTAAGGACTAAGCCCTGTCATAGGTTTTCTCTTCCGTCTCCCAGATGACCAGGGCCACTGGCATCTCTGCTGATCCTTTCAATATATAGACCCTCCTTTGGGAATGCTGTACTTAGCCAACACTCTGGACTCTACTGAGCCCAGTTGTTCAGGCCCACAAAGATCTCTGTTGTGGTGATCCACCTTTTCCATAGACTTATGGAGGTTTTAGAAGGTTGAGGTCACTGGGAAGTTTCAAATCAAGTCATCAGTAGAGATCGGGGATTCAGCCACCCACCTTACAGGTGCAGACTCGCAGCTCGGATGAGCCCATGACCACTTATGTTGTCTGCAACGAGTGTGGGAACCGCTGGAAGGTAGGTAGGTGGGCCCAGAATGCTCACCTCCAGTCCTGTCTCAGAATATATTGGACCTGAACTAGGAACCAGGGCCCACTGTACCGATAGCCTCCTGGAAGTCTCTGGGGAGGAGCCCCATGCCTGTCCATCCTGTTACTGTCCTGGGGGGTGGTGTGTGTCACGTGGGGCCTTGGCCAGACACTTCCCTACCTTCCTACAGTTCTGCTGAACCCTGTACGCACTGATGTGTTGTAGTCCTGGCCATGGCTAGCATTGCCCCCTCCTGCAATGTTCTTGGACACAGCTTCTCTGGAGATCCCCAGAAGGTGGCATGCCCTGTCCCAGCCTGTCTGCCTGGTGTGCACCTTTCTGCCCTTTGTCCCTCATTATTAAATGTTTTCTTTTGCCTTCCTCTGGCCTTGCTCCTGGTAGGGGCTAAACACTGGCTCCAGCTGGGTCTGTCCTTCCATTGCTCCCTGGGCTCAGACAACACTTGAGCTAAGCTGCCTTGGGCAGTGTAGGCAAGAACATGTCTGTGATTCTAGGATACTGGTGGTCTGCTCATCTGTGTCCCACCATGCTGACTATGTGGGACTTGTTAGAACAGGACCGCAAGCCCAGTGTTCACCCATCCTCACCAGACATGGCAGCCCAAGGACCTGGTACCCTCTCAGGATGTTTTGCTCCATCCTTCACTCCGCTCACCACATGGGGGAGGATGGTCTCTGGGCTGAGGTCAATTCTAGCTTCAAATTGCTGAAACTTCCAGCAACTTGAAGGACCAACGTAGTGGGTGCTTTGCTTTATTGGACCCATAAGATGAAGATGACATTGTACCCAGCTACCTTGAGGAGGCCAAGCCTCTAGGAAGACATCTCACCAAGTACACAAGGGTTTGGGATAATCTGCAGTTGCATCTTAAGCCTTTGTGGAGCACTGACCCACTTAAGAGTTGAGGCCAGTTCCTAGAGCTATACCTTGGGCAGGGCCCAGAAGAGTCTGGTGGATGATCCTCTTCTCTAACCTCCTACCCCAATTGTGGGATAAATGGAAACTTGCTTTTAAAGGGTCAAGAATACTATATCATGTTTTTGGCATGTGCAGGAATACAGATGAATGTGAAAGCTTTCTTTTTTCTTTTGATAAAATGTACAATAAGGACATGTTTCCAATTTTAAAGTTCATTAACATATAAAATATAAATGGGCTCTTTTTTTGAGCCTGACTCTGAGGTCCTACATCTGGTTCTGCAGAATAAACAGTCTTGCTACAAACCTGTTGGCACAGAGGTTGTTCTCTATGAGAACATCTCCTGGGCACGTGACTGGAGGGTCTGAGGCACCATCTCGGAGAACCCCCAGCTGGAACAGGCTAGGGCAGAGCAGAACATTGTAGTTGCCACTGGGACTGAGTCTATATCCAGCCAGATGGGGCAGGGTTGGCCCCTAGTCTGCCCACAGGAGCAGGGCATCTGTTTGGCAAGCACCTAGGCCTCAGAGGAGGACTGTGGGGCCCCCTGGAGTAGCAGAGAGCGGTAGGCGGGGGAGGTGAGGAAGCGAGGATAGGAGTCCCGGTGCATGAGGGTGTAGATCTGCAGCTGCGCATCATCAAACGTGTGTGGTGATGGCTCTTGCATCTTCCTATTGATGCCTTCTCGCACACGGGAGTCCAGGCTCACCTGTGTGGCAGGCACCAATGTCAGGAGGTGGGGCGGGGCCCTTCCCAGGCCACCCTCACTTATCCCTGCATCTGGCGCACCTCCTTGGGGGACAGGATGGACACGTAGTCCTCATAGATAAGTCGCGCCTTCTCGTCCACCACATGTTGGTTGGCCTCTGCTTTCAGCTCCTCACAGGCCAGCCAGAAGAGCATGTTCTCTTCGCTGTATTCTGTGCGCAGGAATGCCCGGAATACACTGCGGCCCGTGGGGCTATGCATTAACTTGTCAAAGGACTGTGCCCAGCTCTGTACTTCCTCAGGACTTGGTGGAGTGCTGCAGGTATTAGGGCCGGGCCATGTCAGAACTGAGACGTGCACACAAACACACACGCATGCACACACAGTGGTGGCTGTACTCACCAAACTTCACAGCTGGGGAGGGGTTGCAACTTGCTTTCCCGAGAAGCCTGCCACGCTCGCTGCCGTTCTTGATTCCTAGTGGCAAATGAAAGTGGCACTACCTTATGCAGTTGGGTTCTCCACACACCACTCTGGCACGTGGTTGCCTAGCACCAGTAAGTCTGTTGCAAGGAAGGAAGCTCCTAGTGTGAGCCTTCTTCACATCCTCTTGTTCCCCCACTGAGGCCTCTTTCCTGGTCAGCAGCTGGACTGTTCTGGTTCCTGGTATCATTCCCTCTCTTTGGACTGCTGGGTAGAACCATACTCCTTAGCCTAGTTCCAGATCATTCTAGAGATCACTGAAAAGTCTGCACTTAAGGTCTAATATCAGCAATATGACTCGTTGGCTAATGTAGGGTAAGAGCCCCTCCAATGTGTCTGTACCTGTCTGATCCTGGATCCTGAACACTGCCTCCAAGGGAAACTTCTTGTCAGTATGTGCTCAGTTGGCACAACGAGCCTCATTCCCAAACTTGTGAAGACAATTCAGTTCCCACCAGGCCTGGCTTCTCAGCAACAATACAGCTCAAGCTTCCAGTGAGCCCTACCCATTCATATTTCACTCCTTGAATCTTGCTTATACATAGTGCTGGGTGGCTTGCTGTTCAATAGAACCCTCAGTCTGTGTAAGGTCAGATTGCTATAAGGTAGGAAACTTCTACTGTCTCTCCTACTCCTGCCATCAGACACCCCCAAACCTTAAATACTTTTCTGTCCAGGGCCAGCTGTTCCCTTACCCAAGTCTCTTCTCAAATGTGTCTTCTACTGCACGTAGTCTGGGGTCTGGGCAGCTCTTAGTGGTACAAACAGGTTTTGGGTAAGAGCATGGACACCATATGCATGCCACTTGCTTGGCTCTTGAATGTAATACCCCAGCATACTAGGTTTAAAGGACACACGAAGGGGCTGGAGGATTTCTCAGTGTTAAGAGCGCTCATTCTTCCACAGACCAAATGCTGGCTCTCGACCATTTGTAACTCCAGTTCCAACACCTTCTGGCCTTTTCAGGTTCCAGATATGCCACAGAAACATAATCAGGCAAAATACTCAGACACATAAAATTTAAGAGCCATATAAAGTCCCTTAGAGTATCTGGGCACTACCAACAAGGCTCAGCAATCTCTAGACAGGGCAATGCTGTGGCTGGGGCACCTGCCTAAAGCTAGTTTCTTGGAAGCCTCTGGAGGGTCTAGGGAGCAGGACTGGGTCTGAACCCTAAAAGCCACCTCATCCCACCCCTTCATGCTTCTGTACCTCTCCCATGAGCTGCTCCCCAGGTCCACATACCCGTTTGGTGCTTTATGAACCATGTACCCCTGCCCAAATGCCCTGGGGTCTTCCCAGTGCAAGCTGCACCCTCAAGTTCACATACCAGGAGCAACTGCAGCAGCAGCACCAGCATAAACAGCAGGGGTTGCGACTGGGGGGTCCTGAAGGGGCTGCATCATGGCTGGACATCAATGGGGGCCTGTCTGCCTCCTCTGGTCCTGTGTGCTGAGGAAGAGGGGGTTGCCTCAACCTCCACTCCAGAATTCACTGGACCCTATGTCTCTGCCCACCTGCCCAATGGACTGTGTACCCAAGGTCATGACATTTTGGGCCTCAGGTGTCCAGGAACCCAATTAAAGGTGGGGAGTGCCTACCTGTTTCTCAGCCTCATGTGGGGTGGGCATGGGTGGGTGGAGGGGGTTGCCAGGTTCTGTGGTGCCAGCTCTGGATCTTCAGTGCAGTCTGGGAGTCTGCTGGATCTGAGAAGAACATTGGATTTCTGACTGAGGTCTGTGATCTGGACCTACCTTGTAACTCTGCACCCCACCTCAGGGAGAGGTCCCTCAGAGGGAGCTTGGTCAGAGCTCTGCCTTAGCCTTCTACCCCAAGCCTGCATGCTTACCCCATATAGAGGTGCCGGAGATGGGGATACTGCAGTTGGGCCTCCCATAAATGGCTCTAAGACACCCCCATCTGCTCAGTCCCTGAGAAGCCGGAAGCCTGGGTTCCTCTTTCTTGGCTTCCGGCTCCTGGCCCCTCCCAAGAGGACTGGAGCTACAAGCTGGTATGGAGGTAGGTAGAGATGCTACTCAGATGACTGCAGAGGGCTAGGTCTGAGCATTGAGTACTTGAGTGGGCCTCAGAACGACTTCCTGAAAGTGAGGAATGGGGTGGAGGGGGGGTATGCCCTGATGAGGTGCGTACTCAGGTAACAAGGTTCTTTGGCCCTCGGCTGCCTCAGACACTCCCATTTAGGATGCAGAAGCGGGGAGTGCTAACTATGGAAGCTGGAGTGGCAATGTGGGAGGACCAGCTGCATAGTGAGAGCCTTGGGCTCTTCAATGGGTTTTCACAGGGTTTATCATTCTTGATGTTTGGACCACACTTTCATGGGGGGGGGGGGAGGTCTAGGAACCTCTCAGGCCACTGAAAGCTGACTTCAAATTCCAGTGTCCCCAGGAGAAACATAAGCTAAAGCATCCAATTAGCATGCTGGCAGCAGTTTTGAATGCCTCCTCTCTCCCCAGCCTGTGCCCATTTCTGTCCAAGATGGAGGCCATCCAGGTTTTAAGATCTCTGCTCTGTCCACCTTCCTCTCGTCAGCCTGGGGCTCACATTACTTTTGACGAGATTCACCCTCCTGTAGCTCCTCATCCAGCAGAGGTCTTTAATCCTGCTCTTCCTCAGCTCTGTCCACTGAGGGTGTAGCCTCACCACCTGACTTGACTTCTGAGATGATGGGTTCCCAAGTCTCCCAGCATGCAAACCAGGACACAGAAGGAGCTTGGGCTGTACTTCCCTGGGGCTGAGCTTCTAGGGAAAGGAAGGGGTATGGTAGCCTGAAGTCTCTAGGCTCTCCAGAGTTGTCCTTCATACCCTCACCCTGAAGACCACCCCGCAGCCGATGCTCCATCTCCAGTCAGCAGACTGGACAGGGAACAGCCTAGGGTGTGGGGCCTGGATGCTGGGGTCCACTGGGGGCAGAGACGGGTGCCTGCCCTTTTCCCCACGTGCAGGTTCTGGTCCTGGCTCCTTGTACCCATCAATGGTCAGTTGGGACCACCCACGTCGTCCAGGGTGCTCTTGACTACTGCCTCCTTCTTTCTGGGGAAGGGGAGCCCAGACTCTGAATTAGGGTTTTCCTGCCCTACCTGCGAATATTGGAGGGCTCCTTCCCTCCCCAAGCCTCCCAGGCGTTGGCCCCCCAAGTCTATGCAGAGAGACCAGATGCAGCAAATCTGGTGTCTGAGGACAGAAGCTCCCTGGGGAATGGCTGCCGCGTTGCTCCACAGAAGAAAAAAGA